AAATGAAATGTATGGAATTAAATATGCCAATCCCAGCTCTTGTGAGTCTGATAGAATTATGGGAGAAAACAACAATCCTTCTGTGTTTATAAAGCTCATCAATTTAATTTAAAATTTGAGCCATGACAGCTTTCTTGCATTGTTTCCATTTGACCCCTTCCTTGGAGAGTTTGTGAACTGAAATGCAATCATATTTCATGTGGGTCCTGGGACTTGAACCTGGGTCCTCTAAGAGGAAGAGGAGTCAGTGCTCTTAACCACTGAGCCCTGAAATCATATTTCAAATGTACTTAACTTGATATTTATGTCCATTCAGGTAGTGTGCCTTTATACGTACCCTAGAAATTTAGGTTTACAAAAGACCAAAGTCAGGTCCCTGGGAACTGGTGATGGCAAAGGTTCAAAGGTAAGGAGTAAACCATATTCCAAGAAAATGGCTGGAGGGATGAACCTCAAGCCACTCCCTCCAGACAAGAACACCAGCTCCTAAGATCTGAGCATCAGTGTTCCAAGGACAGGGTGCACTGAATGAAAATGTGTGGGTGTTGTGTCCTCTTATGTGGCTCCAGTTACCACTGCAAATGTTGATTTGAATTCCTATATTCATGAAGTTTCTGAAAATTTTAAAGCAAAAGGAATTTGAACATGGTAAGTTACTACATCTCAGGGCACAGTCATGCAAATAACTTTAGTTTGGTTCCCAGTACCCACAAGTGATGTCTCTAACTCCAGTTCTTGGGGATTTGATGCACATGCATCTCACACACATACACTCAGTAAATAAATAAATGAACAAAAGCCTTAAGCTTAAAAGAAAAGATTAATAGGCACAAAGTGAAATAAATATCTTAAAATAATGTTTTATTTCACAGTTAGAAATTTGAATTAAACCTTAAAAGAAAATATAATCAGAGACTATTTCTGCCTTGCCTCTTTCATCCCCAGACCCAATCCTAATTCTTAAACATTGCAGTGTCAGGGCACAGACAGAATTTACTTTCCTGGACTTGTTAGGATCAAGCTAAATTAAGATGACTCTCCTAGGCTGCAGATGGATTGCGTTCACCTAATAACTCCAGTGAGGCTTCATCTTCAAGGTGAAAGTGTCGCTTCAGTTCAAATAACAAACATATTTTCCAAGGTGTGTTGTTAATATATTTCACCTATGGCAAAGTTGCTGAATAATTCCTTCTTCTATGAAAACAAATCAACCTGTAATATATATTTTATCCCATCTTTTGTTCCCAGCCTCTGAAGATTTTGGCAAGTGAGTCTCACTGACAGAACCTGCTCCAGTAGAAAAAAGCTGGATTTTATCATGATTGTATAGGTCGGATTTAGATTTTTTTATTATTGCCTACTATTACTTTTAAAAACATATTCCAGTGGCCATTGTATACACTGAGGAGCACCGTGACTGATTGCTTATCACTATCTGTAGCCCTTAATGAGTCTTAACCAGTCACTCAAAGGCTTGATTGGTGCTTCTGGAGGGGGGCTGTTGACAGAGCTTTGCCCTCATGAGAAGTATCCCATGCCACAGTGTCACAGCAAGCGAGAGAGCTCTGCACAATTCACCTTCGTTTGTGTCAGTTCCCATCTATGGATTAAGCCAGGATCACCAGCTTCCTTGGCACACTCCTGGGTCTGTGTCAAATCCAGGACTTACACAGTGACAACAAAGTAAGCCAGAAACTAATATTTTATTGTCATCTTCTCTTTCATCCCAACCTCTGTCTAGTTCTCTTAAATATACTATTAACTACCCTCCAGGCATGTCAATTACTCCCTCCATATGCATTCATATCTCTCTCCTCTCCTGCAGGCCTGAACTCTACAAAATGAATCAGAAAAAAAATATTGTAAGATGTTAGTGGGTTACAGTGGCTCATTCTTCATAAAAAATTACATCCTAAGCAGCCAAGATGTTCTGCAAAGGTCAAAAGACCCATAAACACAGAGATGTACAGATCAGGAAGGAAGACAGGGAACGATACAAAGACAAAGACAGAGAGAGACACACACACACACACACAAATAGAGACAGGCACACACCAAGATACAGTGTCACTTACACAAAGAAATACTGGATGTTCACAGTGGGCCAGCTCCTTCAGTCTTGCAGGGAAAAAAACATTTAAACTCATTTATAATCAAAGAAACACACTCTAGACTGTTGAGATGTGATTTATCAAGTTGACTGCAAGCTTTATTTTGTTTTCACATGGAATTTTAGGAAAAGTGAAGAGAAACATATAGACTGGCAAAAATAATTTCAGCGGAAATTTCAGCAATATATTCCAAAAGCACTGATAAATGAATTGTCTCCTTTTATCATAATTCCAAATCTGAACATCAAGACTAATATTTACTTTAGGAAAGAGGAAAAAATAATTTATCAGGGCCACAGGGCAACCTTTCTCTTCCCCACAATGTGCAAAATTTTGACCAGAGAGGGTGTCAGGAGAAGGACGCTGGACATGGGGATCATTCATTACACTTTATCCACAAGACTCTTGAGTGCTAAGAAACAATACATAAAAAGTTAAAAGACTTTAATACAAACACCCTGCCAAGAAAGCAGAGTGAATATTAACCATAGTACTTATTTGGCTTGGAAAACAATCAACTGTGAGCAGCAGGAAAGTATAGCTGGTTGAGAATTGAGGGAGAATATTCTTTTCCCCGTGATGTTCTGTCCACCACAAGGGTGGTGATCCATGACATCACTTGTGTTCTACTGGAACTTTATCTGATCCTCCTATTCTGATCACAAGGCCCTTATTGGCTTCCTATCCTAATTCCCTGGGAGATTTCTGTGGCTTAGGGGGATGGGGGCAGGGAGCTCAGGACCTAAGAGCACTTGCTTTGAAATCAAGAGGACATGAGTTCAATCCCTAGCACATACATAAAAGCAGAACATACCTATGTCAAGGTGGGATGTAGTGGACACAGACTGCTCCTGGGAGTTTCCTAAACAGTCATCCTAGCTAAGATAGCAAATGAAGGTCTTCAAGTTCAGAAAGAGATACTAAACACCCCCAAAAAGGGGGAGGCAATAATACCTGAAAATAACACTTGGGGTGTCTTTGACTTACACACACATATATACATAAATACACATACACAACAATAAATAAGTAAATAGAAAGTGAGATTAAAGGGTGACAAATCGCTGGTGTTAACATGGCAGCATGGATGTATGAGGTGTACATATTTTCCTAATCCTGCAATTAACGGGCTTCTGGAAAAGAGACTACAACCAAATGCAATTTGATTTGGTCATGTAGACATCAAAAAGCAGTCGGTGCTAGGTAAGGATGTCCACAGACCTTCTTGCCCACTGAGACAATCCTCTGACTCCTTGCCCCTCCCTTGACTGTTGCTATTTAACAATGGAGAAGACAGACAACCAAGCATGTAAGTCATGCCTGCTGAGAAGGTCACACTAACAGAGTCAGCAGCTGCCCAGGGAAGCATGTCTGAAGGATTTACAGCCCCATCACCATGTGCAGGATTGTAAACTAGAAAATGATAGCAGGGGTTGGCAAGAAATAAAAATAGAATCAGCTGACCACTTCTGGAATGCTAGCCGGATGGTGTGCTCAAAGGCCCAGGTCTAGGAACTACAGGAGTGTGTGGACCCCTCCCCACACCCACCCGAGTACTGCCTACCTCTCCAGGAGCCCTGCAGCCAGAGGTGATGAGAACTGTGACCAGAGACCAACAAGGATGTCCCCATAAAGGGTCACAGTAGAAGTGAGAGAAGCCGCTGACTGCTGTGGGTGGCTGAGCACCATGCACTGTAGGGTTCTGCAGGAGCCACCTCCCCTGTTGGGGTGAGTGGAAACTGGAGAGGCTGCCAGCACTGTGTAAGTTGGGCCCAGAGGCCAGGCAGACATCTAGTAGGAAGGTGGTGTGCAGGGGAGGCACGTGCCCGCTCAGAAATGCCTGTCTCTCTAGTGTCCTCTCCTGGCAAGGCTTAGCATTGAGCCAGATCACACTGAAAATCCATTCAAAGGGCCCAGATGCATTTTCTCAATGCAGGTGGCAGAGGCTGAGTTTGAGGATGAGAGGAAACATTCAAATGAATAGCACATTCTTGAAACCACTCAAAGTTCTCTAAAGAGGTGAGAATTATCTTAGTGAATATTGAGCAAAACATTCTAAACAAAAAATATAGGTGTGTATATATATATAATTATAATTATAAACCTATTATATAAAACATACACATTCATTATGGATGCTTTAGCATTTTGTTTAATAGAAAAATACAAAAATTCCTAATTACAATCAAATGTGGTGTGTGGATTTGATGACCATCTCAAATACGTCGGAAAAAAATGTCTAAGACTGGGAATCTCTGAAGTAATTATACAGGATAAAATGCAATGAGTTGTATCAAAGATTTCCCATTTGTGTTAATTATAATTACTGTTGAGATAAGCGAGCATTCGATGAAGCAAAGCCACAGGGATTTTAGTACCTGGAAGTGATCTGGAGATTGAAGTGTGGAATCAAGACCCACCCTAAAGAATGTAATAAGATTGCAGAGTATCTACCTAACCCAGATAAATTTTGTTAGTCTCCTTTTGCAACAGTAGGATGTGTTCCTGTTGGAGAAAGGGGGCTCTTGGGGACATAGACTTCTAATAAAGGAGATAAAGGAGTAGATAAGTCAGGATTCTCAAAGGAACAAAGATGACAGGTGTGTGTGTGTATGTGTGTGTGTGTGTGTGTGTGTTATAAATAGGCATATATGAGCTTACAGGCTATGGCCCAAGTAGCTCAATAATGGATGCCTCCCGACAGAAATACTAAGGAACTTATTCAGTTGTTCTTACACCTGAGACTGGGTGTGTCACCAGCCCCAATCTAATTCTCAAGTCCCAGGGAATTCCTCCAAATGTGTTGTCTTCAGTCTATATTGGAATCCTGAAGAATTATGTTCTAACACCAACAAAGGATTGCCTCAGCATCACCATAGATGAACTTACCAGCCAAAGTGAGGGCAGGCAGACAAGAAGCAAAAGCTCCCGTCTTCCATGTCCTTATAGGTGAACTGCCACCAAAAGATAAAGCCCAGATTTGTGTCTTCAAATAACCTGGACTTAAGGTGGGTCTTCTCACTTCAAATGATCCTAGCAAAGAAAATCCTTCACAGGCATGCCATGATACTGAGTTTTAGTTGATTTTGGTGTAGCCATCTGAAACCAACGAAGACTAGTCATTGCTACTGTATCACCCACATTGGATAGAAGACTCCAAGCTGCATGCTTCCCAGGCTTCTCTGAAGTTACTGTCACCCTAGGCATTAACTGCACAAATGACCCCTTTGTGTAGTAGTGGCCATTGGGGATAGAGGTCCATATATTATTAAAACCTGCTTCTACTCCTCTCATGAAAAGAGGAGAATCAACAAACAATTCATCCTGAATGGGAGATGTGTGTATGCCATGAGCATCATAAAATGAATCTGTCATGGAAAGAGGTGACTGGTACTTTGGACTTCAGAATGTGTGCCACACCATCTGTTCAAAGTCCTCCACAATGCTTACTAAGAGGAAATCTGTGTTCCCGGGGTTTCCATTTAATCATACATTAAGCAGGAATCCTCAAGTCAATGGCGGCTTCAGAGTGATGGATGGATCACCCAGGGATGTGTCAGGCTCTGCAAATTAACATATCATGTGCTTTCCAGAAACAAATCACTGGAATGACTGCTTCCTCAAGCATGGCCCATCTGTGGAAGGTTTCTGCAAGGATAAGGACAATTATCTTTTCTTATTATGTAAACACATATTCATTTGAACACTGTTACAGTTTGCTTTCTGTTGCTGTGATAAAAAATATACTAACCAAAGGCAACTTGGGAAGGGAATATCTGGTTTACATTTCAGACCACAGTGCATCTTTGAGGGAAATCAAAACAGGAGTTGAATGAAGGACTAGAAGACAAGAAATAGTACCACACTAGCATACAAAGAAAGACACTACTCAACAATATCAATAAATTGTAGGAAATAGGCCAGTCTCTATCTTCAGACACACTTGATTGTCATCTGATGGATCAAGATGTCTTTCCCAGAGGCCATGGAGTTCCCTGAAAACTTCTTATCAAGCAACCACTTATGAACAAATAACAAACACATACATCACAAGAAATATCTAAAAGTAACCATCCTAGCCAGTTTGCAGTCGTAAGTCCATCTGCGACCAGAGTCCCGGCATTGAACTTCAAGTAACTTATGTATATTTACATTTAGTGTGTGTGTGTGTGTGTGTGTGTGTGGTGTGCTCGCTCGTGCGTGTATGTTCATGCCTGCACATGCATACCCATCACAGCATATGTTGAAGTTGAAGACAACTTTCAGGAGTCAGTTCCAGCCTTCTATAGTGCCCAGGTGTCAGACTTAGGTCTTCATGCTTGGTAGCAAACTTAGCTTTACCCACTGAGTCATCTCACCAGTCCTTAATTCTATTTCACCTGTGTTTACTCATTTTGTGTGTGACTCTTTTATCCAAGGAAATTGCATACCCCTGGCTCATATCCTTTTCCCCCACTCCAATCAAAATGTCCCGCCCCACCCACTAGTTACAAGTAAGAAGTTAACTCAAAGAAAAGCTGAGGTGAGTGGCGGAATAGGGGAGATGATGAGGGAGCCAACAACTCTAGTTGTCTTGTGGAATATAAGCATCCATGTGAGTACAGCCATGCACAAGCACACCATCTTTCCTAATTCCAAGGACAGAAAATATATTTCCTTTGCAGTTAGCTGAACCTTGGACAACAAAATGATCATGCTTCCTTCTTTCCTTTATGACTGGATATTAATTATTTGGATGCTTTTTGATCTAATTGACAGGTCCTACAGAAGTTGACTCAGGCTTGCCACAGTGCCTGTTCTGGATAGATGATACAATGGTTATTGGTTCCAGGCTCTAACCTATGTCATCCTGTGACAGTCAAGGTGCTGTCTTATTTAAGTCATCATCTTTTCTAAGACTCAACTCTCAAAGAATGTTCAGATGACTTGAAACCCTGACTGTCTTTCCAGGTTTCCCAGGCTCAGGGGTTAATGTTGGAAATAGGGTAAACTTTCTATTGGTGTTTCAAAGTAAAAACCCTTTTACAGGAGGATTTCATTACTTATTTGTTTGTTTTTAATTATGCCAAAGTCTGTTTTATTCTAGTTATGGACCACACATACCTCATGAAGCATCCATTACTCCTCAGTGTGCATTCCTGCCCCATACACCCAGTCATTAACATAGGGTCTGGGCTGGTAACTGAGCTAAGCCAAGGATCCCTCCCTAAGGATCTCTGAACTTAACATAATAAAAACCATATTCTTTCCTCCTATTCCAAAGAAATAAGATATATATGTATAGTATGTGTATGTATGTATGTATGTATGCATATCATCTTGCCCATGTGTTTTGGAACTGGAAGTGTTGGAAAGGTTAGAATGACTTTGCCGTTTCTTACTAGGAAGTTGTGACAATACACTTTAACTTTCAGGTCATACCCTATGGCTGCACACTGAAGCTAAATGTTCAGTTCACCCCCATTGAGGCGAGTACATATGAGAAGAACAAAGAAAGCTTGATGCCACACATCTATACTTCCTGGGCAGGAGAGATGTGCTCAAGCAAATTGATTTTCGTTTGCACATTCCCACACGGGAGCAAATGTCAAATGCATTTCCTCCATCCTTCTATTCCATTCCTGTCCTCATGCTCATTGCATTCCTATCTTTATAGTTAAATTTTAGAACTATGGGCCCATTAGCCCCGACTGCCTGCTATAACTCTATTAGGGATTCATGTTTTATTCAGCCTAGAAATCTGGGCATATTGATTTAACTTTAAGTAGTGCATTATTTGATTAGACAAGATGTTTACTTTTTCTTTAATCTGAGGGCTTTGTGTGGCTAACAGACCTTGGTCACGGAAATCCTATAGATTGGTATAAATCTCTGATTTTTCTGTGAACTGGTGAATGAGGTAGATCAAATCTAACCCAAACTGATTCGACCTGAAGGGATACCATCTTTAGCTGGAGAAGGATTTCAAACAAAACTGTCAAAAGTGTCTGCTCCAGGAAGGAATCAGTCTGGTTGTGCTCGGACACAGGAGATTGCTCCTATGAGCCTTTTCTAGACAACTGGATACCCAAGGTACATTTTCATTGATAATGGCACACAGGAACAACAGTCTGCCAGCTTTCCCAAAAGAGAAAACTATTGTTTGGGGCTGAAGAGATGACTCAGAGGTTAAGAGCTCTGCTCTTGCAGAGGACTGAAATTCAGGTTTTAGCACCCCCATGGAGGCTCACAACCACCTGTAACTCCAGTTCCAGGGGATCCAATGCCCTCTTCTGGCCTCACACACCAGGCACACACATGGTACACAGATATACATGCAGGCAAAACACCAATACATCTTTTTTATTTAAGTATAATTTGCCAAATTACCAGGTCCTTCCATCATCTACATGGTGGAAGGAGCCACCACCTTTACCTCCAATTTAACGGGGGAAAAAGGAGAAGGGTGGCTTGGTGGGTAAAGCACTTCCCAAGCAAGAGTGAGGACCTGAGTTAAAATTCCTGGAGCCTATGTAGAAAACAGATGCAGTAACTTGCCTCTCGATTCCCTGTGTTCTCTTATACCAGATTGAAGATGGAAATGGGAGAATCCTTGGAAGTGGGTGGGGCAAATGACCTAGTGTGTGCAGCTGTGAAAAACAGACTCTGACTCAAACAAGGTAAAGACTGACAGCTGAGGTCACCCTCTGACTTCCACAAGGGGGATAAAAACAGCCACGGGCTGAGGACATAGCACAGTACAGTACTTGCCTAGCATTCACGTGCAGGAAGCCCTACATCCCATCCACAGCACTACATAAAGCAGGTGTGGGGTTACCCATTTCTAATGCCAGGATCAGAAAAATGGAGGCAGACAACCAGAAGTCCACTGGGTATAGAGGAATTTTGAGGTCAATCTGGGATACATGAGATCCTGTCTTTTCATTGTCTTTCTGTGTTTTCAAGACAAGGTTTCTCTGTGTAGCTTTTTAGACCAGGCTGGCCTCAAACTCACAGAGATCTGCCTGCAAGTGCTAGGATTTAAAGGCATGCACCACCACTGCCTGGCTTTCATTCATTGTCGTTCAGAAATATTATTGGATATGGGTGACAAGAGGCACAAAGCCCAACAGAACACACATCTTGGCATAGGCTCAACTCAAACTCAAGACCCACTTCCACTGGGCTCTAAAATCCCTCAGAGCCTTTACCTCATTGTCCATAAACTGGAGATGATGTCACCTGTCATAAAAAGTCAGCGTGTCGGTAATAGGAGATAACAGATCTTCAAGGTGTTCTAGGCAACTGGCAAACCCTGGGTGATATCCACTTGAGTCTCTAGTCTCCTTTTGGTCTTTAAGAGGGATGAGGAAGACAACCTGAAGAAGAGAGGTGATGGTGGGAACTGTTTAAAAATCACTCCTGTGTGATGAGCAAAGGGGTCAAGACCAGGCTGGAGAAACCCACAGAAACAGAATAAGGGGGAGCTCATGGACCCCAGTATGATGGATGGGAAACCAGCATAGAACTGTCCCATCAGTTAGGAGGCCTGGACAATCTATGCAGTCTCTGACAGTGGATCAATATTTATGCCCCAGTATAGGAATGAATTTTGGGAGCCCATTCCACATAGAGGGATACTCTTTCAGCCTAGACACACGGAGGAGGGCCTAGGCCCTGCTCCAAATAATGTGACAGATTTTGAAAATCCCCCATAGAAAGTCTCACCTTCCCTGGGAAGCAGAAAGAGGATGGAATAGAGGGTTGGGGGGGGTCAGGGGAAGAGGGGAAGGAGAGGGAACTGGAATTGACATGCAAAACAAGCTTGTTTCTAATCTAAATTTTAAAAAGGAAAAAGAAAATCACTCTTACTAGGGAAATGAGACCAGTCTTCTAGATAGTTAATGTGGCCTTGGAACACAGCTACAGGAGACAGAGGGTTGGGTGGGACCCTGGTTTGCACAAGGATATTCAGTGATGATGGACAGTTGCACTGGCCTCTGTGTGCAGCCATACAATGCTGGATATATATATATATATATATATATATATATATATATATATATATGACAGACCCTCCTTGACATTCTAAATATGACCCAGAGTCATGGGTAGTTTTGTGGATAAAGTAATTGGGTCCCAAACTACCATCGCTAGAAACAGCAAACCGAAGCTGTAGACGCCAGGTAGAGGGATTTTTAAGAGTCCCCAATCATCTTCCGTCTCACTGTAAAAGTACTGAGATTACGGATGTGTGCTATCACATTTGGCTTTATGTCAGTTAGGGGAAACCAAAGTCGTGTCCTCATGTTTGCACAGCAAGTGTTTCACCTGCTGAACTGATCACCCAGGTCATCTACTGTTGAAATGTCACAAAGCTTCTGAATAAATAGTCCTTGTTTTACTTCATAATGGCCTCAAAGAGCAACTTTGGTGACACTGCCTAGTTGGATATTCCAAAGAGGAATAGGAAAGTACATCCTCCAAGTTAAAAAAAAAAGTAGGAATTTATCATAGATATGCCTGAGTAGGATCAAACATGGTATGTGCAAAGTTCACTTCTATCCAGTCTCAAACACCTGCCAAGGGCCTTAGAACTCAACCCCATGGATCGAGGGAGACCATTGCATTTGTCATTTGGGGCTTGGGAGCATCTTTGCTTAAAAATGACCATGTTGAAGACCCTAGAAAATGAAGCCTAAATAGTCAGATGCTGGGAGATCAATGGTTTAATCTGAAAAGAAATAAAATCATGTGGAGCTCAGAAAGTGTGGCCTGAGAAGCAGTGGATAGCACAGGACACTCCGGTTGACTTATTTACCCGGGCATGCTGGTCCTGAGGAAGGTGAAGATGACACTTGAGGGAGGCAGAGAAATTAAAAGGAAGAATCTCTGTGCAGCCTGAATCCTTTTCTTACCGAGAGAGCTCAGTCCATAAGTGGTGGTGCGATTTCAATGGCAAATTAAATCCAAACAGCAATTTAGGTGGTGTAGATAGAAAAGAAGGAGGACGAGCGGGAGCAGAATAACACTGATCATTTTCTGCTGGCCGCCCACACACTTGACAATGGAAACAGGAGACTCCCCTGTTTAATAAGCAGCCAGCCAGGGCTCTGAGTGGTCCCTTGCTTTGTAGTCCTTTCTAATGAGATTTGTATTCCTCCCAGATGCTAGTGCCAGGAATAATGTCTTAGCTCTGTGAATAATAGGTATCAATAAGAATAATAAAAAGGCACCTCGAAATAACTGAATTCCCTGCATTTACTCCTTGAAAAACGTGACTTAATCAGGAGAATTTTCTTCTCTCATTCCTACCTCTATGGATGCAAATAATCTGGACTGAACAAAAATGATTTCAGAGTTCTCTTTACAATGTTCTTTGTGTACCCCTTAATTCTTAATATAAAGAGATTCATATGTAGTCATTTGCACCACACTAGGGGGAAATGAGAGCATGTTTTAATATCTGAAAAGCAATAACTTCAAACGTCTCAGATCTTACTTAAAACAAGTCACTCTGTAGTCAATTCAAAAGCAAGGGGGAAGAAATCAAAGGAATAAGAGCATCTCTGAAACAAACAGCTTGTCTGTGCACATGGGGCTGTGTTCAGTGGGAAACTGGAGCATCTATTAACAGGACGGGTGAAAACACATGCCAAGAACCTCCAACTTTTGCTCTGCCCCTGCCACTCAGGGAACCTGGGACATGAGACATATCACTGCTCTGTGCATTCTTGTCCCCTTCCCAAGGTATAGTGAGGACTGTACCAGGTAAAATTCATGAAGCACTGAGGTCCAAGCCTGGTCATGAGTGTATCAGTCCATACATGCAGACATGGAAGCAACTATGGGAAGAGCAGTCTCAGACACTCCATTCAGGCAGCACAGCACTTCTGGTGCCTGAGACAGGGCGAAAGCTCAGATCAACCCATCTCTAAACCTCACCCTCTTCCTGTATCCAAGGCAGTCATTTCCTGGGATGAATGTGTTTCCCTACTGGACAGTATTGAACTCTCGTCTCAAGGATCTCACCTAAACCTAGCCTCACTTGTGTCCCTTCATCCTGGGTGGGATCTACACTATAAAAGCATGAGGCTTCCAGGAGATCTGGGGAGGAAAGGCCTACTGAGGTAGAGTGGGCCTCAACAATTAGCTTGGGTCAGAAGTTGTAGCACCTTTGAGATTGGGGCAAGAAAATCATTGTGACTCATATCTGACTCTCTCTCTCTCTCTCTCTCTCTCTCTCTCTCTCGGTATCTTTCATTGAATAAAACCAGCTGCTATGTCATGGTGTTTTATCTGGGATTTCCATTGTTGTGAGAAACCACCATGACCAGAAGCAAACTGAGAGGAAAAGGATTTGTCTTCCTTACATCTCCACATCAGATTCCATCACTGAGGGAAGTCAGGGCAGGAACCTGGGGGCAGGAACTAAAGCAGAGACCATGGAGGATGCTGCTTTACTTGCTTGCTCCTCATGGTTTGCTCAGGCTATTGTCTTATACACTCCAAGACCACATGCCCGGGGATGGCACCACCCACAGTGTGTTGAGCCCTCCCACATCAGCCATCAATCAAAATAAAATGACCCACAGACCTCAGTTGAGTTTCTTTATTCTCATATGTGTCAAGTTGACCACTGAAGCTTACTATGATAAAGGGTAATTATCATTTTGCCCTCATTTGTGGTCTTCTTTTATCTCTCTATGTACATGTGGTGTGTGTGTGTGTGTGTGTGTGTGTGTGTGTGTGCGTGTGTGTGTGTGTGCATCTGCCATGGCACATTGCAAAGGTCAGATGACATATGGAATCTCTTTTCAACTTAAAGTGGGCATCAGACTTGTACAGCAAGCTTATCCATCTCACTAACCCTACCTACCATTTCTTTGTTGCTCTGGCATTCACACAGAACCCTCCCTCATCCAGTTCCATAGATGGAGATAAACTCATTTGCCTGGCTAATGGATAGATTTCATTTCACATCTACAGAGAAACCTGCATAGAAATGGACCACACACCCAACTGTGTTCCATCTGTATATTCTTGGTGAAATGGCTGGGAAGAGACACAATCCCCCCTGGCTGTGGGGCTGGGGTGTAACCCCTGCCCCTGCGAAGGTCACTGCACAAAAGAGGCTGCTGAGGGTGAAGCTGATAGAGTAGAAGCAGCACACAGAACAACCAGGTCCCAGGAAAGTCAGTGTCACCCTGCGGCTCTCTTTACAAGTCCTTCTCACCTACATGGTCCAGCTGATCCCTTGTTTGGCTTATGAGAGGTTTGAGCTTTTATTATGCATGGTTCTTAGAGCCTAATTAATGTAGAGAAGCCTAATAGATGTGGCAGATGCTACTCCTTGCTATCCCTTCTCTGCTGAAATCTTCAGTGGTGCTTTGACTCAGTTCATGTAACTCCAAGCATCCTCTCTGGGGACACCCTTCAGAAAGCACACCACCTGCCAATCTCACCATCTCTGCAAAACCAAAGGATGCTTTGGTCACTGAACTCTTCCCAGCTGTTCTGCCTTAACCCAGGCTACACTGCAATGAGGCTATTTCAAAGTCAAGGCTTTAAAGCAAACAGTAGGATAACTTTAAATTTCCATGTGACAACTCAGCCGTGGAGAGACACATGGCCCTTAAGCATTCAGAAGCCAGACTCAGAAACAAAGTGCTTCCTCGGGGCAGGAAAGACTTGGACACACTCACAAATTTTCATTAGGTTTTTAGCATCTCATTACTGCCCTGTCCAGCTGAAGTCAGAAGCCCAGACATTTAATTATTTTAGAGATGAGTTTCTGGGCTCCCTCTTGGTACCAGCATCATTTTATTCGTGTTTCTTTTTTAAGAAGGAAAAGAGTTAAATACCATATCATACCACATAGCAGGCTTCTGAGATCCAGGAAGTTAATAATTTATGGGCAAACAATATAATTACTAAGCCATGAAAGCATAGACACACCAGTTCTTCAGAGAGACATAGAAAAATTAACAGTCCACAAATCCATTGTTTTTCACATCTCCTGTGAAGATTTTCAAAGACTCTTGACAAGGAGAAGAAACTGTGACTTTTTGTTAATGTGGATGAAAACAGTTGTTACATACCTAAGAAAAGCTGGGCTGGGGGTTGGCTTGGTAGACAGGGCATTTCTTATACACATGTGAAGACTGGCACCCATGCAAATGCCAGGTAGACATGCAGTCACCTGTAATTCCAGTGCTCAGGAAACAGAGATGGGAGCTTCCTAAGGCAAGCTGACCAATGCACCCTGGGTTCAGCTGGGAGACCCTGACTCAGCATATAAACCAAGGAGCAATTGAGGACAATTCCTGATGTTAATTCCACAGGCATATATAAAAGAAATGCATGCCCACGCAAACATGTGTGCCTATACACATTCAAACACTCTTAAACACACATATCACATTGTGGTGGTTTGAAAGGAAAAGCCCCCCCCAAAGAGAGCAGCACTATTAGGAGGTGTGGCTTTATTAGAGTAGATGTGATCTTGTTGGAGGAAGTGTGTCACCGTGGAGGCAGGCTTTGAGGTCTCATATATGCTCAAGATACCACCCAGCATCTGAGACCACTTGCTGAGACAAGATATAGAACTCTCAGCTCCTTCTCCAGCACCATGTCACTGCCAGCTGCCCCCTCTGATAGAAAACTGTAAGAATGACAACATCCTCTCGTTGACAAGATCCCTTCTATCATGTCTTGTACAACCCGTGTGGAAATCAAAGCAAGAGCGCATGAGCCGAGAGCTCATCTCAGAGGTTCTGCTAAGGTAGAGCCCACATCCAACATCTACCAGCTGTGTGCATGTGAGAAAGCCAAGCACCTTCTCAATCCCTCTGACTCCTCACCCATCAAACACAGATGTTAGCATTTTCTACCCTGAACGACTACTGTAAACAGAACAGATAGTTCGATACTGTTAACATACTGGCCAATCAGAAACGTCTGTGTCAGAACCACTAAGGGCAGAGGCCGTATGCATTCCATCACTGTATCGCTCTAAGCACTTAGCCAGTCAGCAGTGTGTATGATGTGTATGTTTATGAATGTGCCAATATGTATGGGCACACATGTTTGTGTGGTTAGGAACTGAATCTATGCGTGGCTGTGGAGATCCAATACAGACATTGGGAGTTATCCTGGGTTGTTCCCTGGTGTATGTATTGAGTCAGGGTCTCTCAGCTGAACCCAGACCTCACTGATCAGGCTTCTGGCTTGTCAGCTTTACCTAGGAAGCCACTGTCTACCGCCTGAGCATCTGAGTTACAGGTGATTGGCAGGTCCACTTAATTTACTCAAAACTTTCTCCACCACAATATATGGATTAGAAGTAGGTTTAGAAAAATAACATGGAACTGACAGCTAAACTTGACTTTGGGGAAGATAGAAAATGACTCTAAACATGTATCATGCAAGATCTGTAACTGAAAAATACGTTTTTCTGAAATTCGAACTTCGCTGGGCACTGAGAGTCTCCTGTTTTATCTGGAAACTATAAAGTCTAGATGCTACACATGGCTTGTATACTATTTTCCCTTTTTCTTTTCTGTCTTCTCTTTTTTTTTTAACCAAAATTTAATTTTCCGAGCACTGAAAATAGGTCACACCAAACGGCAGCTTCTCTGAGGACTTTTTTTTTATGAAATTGGGTCTCACAAAATTATTGTTTCTTCCCTTCCCATCCCTCTTTTATGAAAGCTGTGTCTGGCATATGGTACACCCACCTTTAGAACTCTCCATGTTGGGTAGTAGGCTAAGAAGACAAAGAAATTACTCCAGCCAGATGCCGTCTACCATCAGAAACCACCTGGCCCTGATTTCTATCTTAAAGATCCTGGGATTGGCTGGAGGTTGAGTGCCACCTGCATGTAGAGCAGGCAAAAGACCCTTGAGGCAGCACTCACTCTTGCTGCTGATATTTTCATGAAAATTAGTAATTTGTACTCCAGATATTTATCTTAGCATCTACATGGGGACAGGTGGTGCTGAGAATACTGTGTAGTCATTGGGACCCTTCATGGCTCAGCTACAAAAAAGTGACTTCAGGCAGTGTGCCATGGGCTTGCGGGATTGTTAATGCACACTGCGATTTTAAAGTTTCTTCTCTCATGTGTGTGACATGCACATGAGTGTCTGTGCTTGTTCACATGTGTGGCTGCACCCGTGTGTGCTGGTGGTTGTGGACATGTAAGTGTGCATGTGGAGGTCTGGGTTGACTGCAGGACTCTTAATGGACCAACTGCTCACTTTATTCATTGAGGCAGGGTCTCTTAGTTGAATGAAAAGCTCATCAATGTAGCTTTTCTAGCTAGCCATGTTGCTTTCTCCACAATCCATACATCTGTGTTCAGACATGCATATGGGCATGCACATGTGTGCACACACACACACACACACAGGATGATCCCAGACAAATAGACTACCAGGTTTTCAAACCCATGTGAAAATCCAGGCATGGGGCTGGAGAGATGGCTCATTGGTTAAAAGCACTGGTTACTTTTCCAAAAGACCCAGGTTCAATTCCCAGCCCCCACAAGTTGACTCATTGGTAACTCCAGTTCAAAGGGATCTAATAACCTCTTCTGTCCTCTGAGGATACCACACTCACACATGAAGAGCACATATAAATGCAGGCAAAAACATTCATACACATAAAATACTTTTTAAAAAGCTAAGCACAAGCAAGAGTGTGTGCCTACCCAGTGCTGTGAGATGGGAGACAAAGATAGAAGGATCCCTGAACTAACTGGCCTACTTAGTGTAGTTTGAGTTCAATGAGAGACTCTGCCTCCAACAAAAGATTGAAGACACCTGAGGACTAACATTTGAGGTCATCCTCTCACCTCCATAGCCATATGAACATATACCTATGTACATGAATGCACACACACAGAGAGAGAGAGAGAGAGAGAGAGAGAGAGAGATCAACATATACAACTGATGTCAGAAGAATATATTGTGAACCTAGTGGTGGTGGCACACACCTTTAATCCCAGCGCTTCAGAGGCAGAGACAGGCAGACCTCTGTGAGTTCCAGGTCAGCGTCATCAACAGAACGAGTTCCAGGACAGCCAAGGCTGTTACTTGGTGAAACTCTGTCTCAAAACACCAGGGTTAGAAAAGGGCATGTGAAACCAGAATGTGTTGTTGACCAGTACAGTGTATTGATGTAAGCTGTTTTCAGTCAGCCTCCCCTTCTGTGTAGTAAATGGTAGATTACCCCAAGGCATACTCAATAAGATGCTTTACTTGTGTTATAAGAGCCTTCCAGAATATGAGATCCTTGAACCATCCATTCCACTTACACCTGTACATACGTCTCCAGCTTCAAAAGGAGCTGTTAACTTGGGCAACACTGCTTTTTTTATAACAAAGTGTAAGGTGTCTTTTTTTCTTTATTCATAAGAACTTCATAAGCATATGCCATGAAATTGATCATATCCACCCCAAGATCCCTCTCCAACACTCCTCTCATCCTCCCCAATATGTCTAACATCCAACTTCATGTCTTTTGATTTATAACCTACTGAATCCAGTTAGTGCTGCCTATATGCACGGGTGTGGGGCCATCCACTAGAGCATGGGTATCCTACCAGAAGCTATACCCCTCAAGGGCCAATAGCTCCTCAGTAAGGAACTGGGGGAAGATATAGAGGTCCTCCCTCTTCTCTATGCCGAAGTTTTGAGAGATGATCCTGTGTAGGTCTTAGGCAGGTTAACCCAGCTGCAGAGAGTTCATGAGTGCAATGACCTCATTATATTCTGAAGACATCACATTACAGCACTCACATACTTTTAATAAAAGTATTAATATAGTAATAATTTTAATATTTTGATTTACAGTTAAATATCTTTGTCTCTCTATGTACAAATACACTCCAAACACTTGTATTTTTATGGGGTCTGTTTGCTGGTTTGTTGAGACAAAGTCTAATCATGTTGCCTCGACTAACAATCCTCCTGCCTCAACCTCCCGAGTCATGGTATTACAGGCATGCACCATTGGACCTGGCTTTTGCTGGGTTTTAATAAATTCAAGGTATTTTTATTCTCATTGAAATTATTTCTAAATTAATCCAAGTCAGTAGGAAAAAAAGTCAAAATTTTGAATCAACTCACAAAACATTTTATATTCACCAGCTTATAATAGTAGAGTTATAACATCAATAATGTATCTTGCCACTGGTTTAATTAGCATTTTCAGGCGTGGGTAGAAGAACTATTGAGCATCTATACACAAGCAAAAGTATAATCAGAAGATTAAAATATGGCTCAGTGGTTAAGAGCACTTACTGCTCTTGCAGAAGACCTGAGTTCTGGACTTCACAGGCACACACACACACACACACACGTAAAAATGAAACAAATCCTAAAATTGTAAAAGTGCAACCATTTTCAATACAGTAAACTCTATTGATATGAGCCAGTTTCATCAGACTTAAACTCCTACTCTTCAGAGGGAGACCCTGGGGGACAGAGGGAGTGTGATTAAAAGGCTGAACAGCAGGAGATAGCAGATGAAGTCCAACATACACTTTAAGCAGTCTTTGTTCACCAACATACATTCTGTGAACCCCAACCACAGGGCTACCCTTGAAGGACTGCCACAGCAAAGACCCTGCACTGATTGTCCCAGATGGGATCTCAAAAGACAGCGACTGTCTTTGCAATGGCAGTTATTGAAACCTAGCCAAATGTATAATGCTCTCATTAGTTTTGTTTCCAGCAAGGAATGTCCCCTTAAGCCTGCCTTCTGTATTTCTGCCACCTTTACAGCTTGCACCAGTAACGGTTCTGAAATCCCAAGCCCCACGTCTACTCACCTTTGGCAGAATTCATTTAAATCAAATCTTGGCTCAAAGGATTCCAGAATCTTGGCCGGGTCAGAGGCAGTCTTTCCCTCAGCTCTTCATTTTGTATCAATCTGAGCTGATGTCTTAGAAGCATATTTATGTCGATTTATAATTACCAACTACCATTCCAGATTGTCTTTGATGCTCCGAGCACATGGCGCTCAGAGGCAGACAGCAACACAAAAGCATCCCACTTCCTTGGTGTTGGCAACGACTTTAGCTTTTGAGCTCTGGATAGCAATCAAAACACATGAAGAGTGGGAGAAAATCAAAGGGATGTTTTTGAACCATAATGTCTACAGAGCCATCTGGTAGGATGACTTGGGCAACATCTATGACCAGCTAGCATCATCTGAACAATATAGAAGTTAACCTTATAGTCTATAATCAGACTAGATTTCCAAATTCAGCATCCCTGAGAAGAAATATTTCTGTAGTAAAAAAATTTAGTTTATCCCAAAGAGCTACCTTCATGACTCGGGTTCCTGTGAGTATGTCTTGTAGAAACATCCATTGGTTGCCTGGCAGCCATCATGCACCTGCCTCCTGGCTTCCACTGATTGGTTCATATGTGAGGACCTGACACAGACCAGTAAGTCATTTCCTTGTGGAATCTGGAAGGACAGTAAAAGGGTTCAGCTTTGGCCTGTTTGCCTCTTTTAGGAAGAGATGTCCATTCAGGCAGAGCTGGTGAACATTTCTCCCACAAGAGCAGGAAAATGGAAGTGGGAGGGATATGCAAATAAACCAGAGATAATTGGCAGAAAAACTTCCCATGGATCCTCCATTCCAGCTGAGTAGGACCTGCCTCCCTGAGCTTGTGTCCCATGAGATTGCTGTTATCACAGTGAATCCCTCTTGTAGCCTCGCTGGCTTTAACATCTTTCCCATATTCAAAATCAGACAGGTGCCAACCAAAGGATGAAGTGGAAATAAGCCAACATTCTGAATTTAGAGCTCACTGGAAGAGCTGCTGAGCAGAAGGCATCATGAGCTCCATGGTACCCAACTCCCAACCAATGGCTTCCTCACCAGCATGCATGCTTTGCTTTATCAGCCACAGGGAATCATAGATCACTGCACCTCCAGGCTGCAAGGTGAAACGATGCAGGAAGAGTCAGAAAAGATGTCTCAAATCTGTTCTCTGGCACAGATTTCTGTGACAGTCAGGCAGCTGCCTACCTGCTGATGTTTGTTTTCTCCTCTGTGAAGCTGAAAATACTAGTACACAGCCTAAGGGCTCGCTCTATACAAATGATCAGGGCTGAAGAATCAGAAACTCATTATGTGCTTGAGTACAGAGAAAAGATAGTTTGGGAAGTTGAAAGGAAGAGAGATTCAGTGATATAATATACACATGAGCCAGGGAGGTGGAAAATAGTAAGATCAGACTAGTCCAAGGGGGTACTGAGACCAAAGCAGAGGCTTTGAGAAAGAACTAGCATGGCATGCCTTTTTCAGGAAGACGCTGAGTCACAAAGTATTCCACAAAGTATTCAAGGCTAGACCCGAAGTAAATTAATTTACATACACTCAGACACACAATTTTTAAACACATACACACACAAGCACACACGCATGCACACATGTGCACACACATTGGTGGGATACCTTTGGAGACCAGAATGCATCAGATCCCTTGAAGCTAGAGTTACAGGTGGTTGTGAGCTGCCCAAACATGGGTGTTGGGAACCAAACTTGGGACCTCTGGAAAGAAGTAAGCACTCTTAACCACTGAGGCATCTTTTTAGTCCCCTTGAACACTCAATTCTGAAGTGTGTACCCTCTGCTCATGCCCCAAATCACTGAATCGAAACTTTTTAGGGGAAAGATGATTTCTACAGTTGTAGACATGTAGACAATGATAGTTAGTATCTGAACAGGATCAGCTTGCCTTAAGGAAGGGAGAAAATTATAGCATGCCCAAAAAAACCACATACCCAGCCTCTGAATTAGGTCACTGATGATGACAGGGCAAGTGATGCTCTCAGATTCTGGTCTTCCAGCATCTTCGACTGTGGAGATGAGTGGAGAGGCCTTCTCTCAGGGTTGGGGATGAAGAATAAGTGAGAACAATAAAGGTGTTGAGACAGATGCTGGGGAGACAGAGAGATGAAAAGACAATGGACCACACAGAGGATGTGGAACTTAGCTACAGAAGGAAGATAGCAAAAGGAAGATATAAAGCAAGAACATCAACAGAGAAACTATAGCTCTAACTGAGCAGGAAGAGTAAGCAATTAGCAGAGAAAAACTTAACATGATTAGAAAGGGAGAAAAGTCATGAAGCTCACGGACAGACAGACAAAAACGAAGAACACAACATTAAACAGTAACACATCTACAGACAGACAGACATTATCAAAGGAGCACCTTGGACAGCAACAGGCAGATGGAGACTGATTAACAAAAAGGAAGCCAGGTCCACTGATGCAGACCTGTATCTAGCTCCCTAGGAAGCTAAGGCAGGGGGATCACCAGTTCAATGTCAACCTGGGCAACACACTAAGTACAAGATAAACATTGGCAACTTTGTTAGACTCTGACTCAAAATTTAAAGTGAAAAGTGTGCTGTGGTGAGGGAGGGGAGGTTGGAGAGATGGCTAAGTGGTTAAGAGCAGTGGAATGGGTTTGGTTCCCAGCACCGACATGATGGCTCACAGCCACCTGTAGCCCTAGAACCATGGGAATCCTTCTTCCTCTTCCGGCCTCTGTGGGTATTGCATGCACATAGTGCACAGACACACAAGCAGGCAAGGTTTCCATGCACATAAAGTACAATTTTACAAGAACTTCTCTCTTACATTAAAAGACAGGGTTGAGGATGTGACTTAGTGGTAGAGTGCTCACCTAGCATGTCTATATTCTGTCCCCCAGAAAGAGGGAGGGACAGATAGACAGATAGAATAAGAGCAGGGGAGAAGAAAGGAGGAGAATTAGGAAGAGGAGGAAAGAAGAGGAGGGGAGATGGGGAGAGCAAGAGTGAGGGAGAGCCCAGGAATGCCCAACGCAGTGGGAGTAACTGAAGTGGAAGGAGGGACTGAGAACAGAACCCTGTGTGTGTGTGTTTCCTCTGCTCATCCCTGCCTGCGTCTTCACTCAGCTCAGGAATGGCTGAGTGTGCAGGTAATTGAGCTTGGGTCTCCAGTTCCCTCTCTGTGCCTGAATGGGCAATACTGTAGCAACTTGTGCAGTCCTGTTTGTGCCTCATTAACCACGTTGCGCACAGAAATCTTACTCCGCTTGGGCTGAATTAAAATTTAATAAAGTACCAGGTTGCCACAGGACTAACAAGCCACTGGCAGCTGTTTAATTAAAACAAACTTGAAGAGGCAGCACTAGACAAAGGAGCTTCTGAGGAAGAAATGAAGCTGCTAACAGCCTAGCATGAAATAAAGATTTTATCGGAAAGGAATGAGCTATTATATAGAAAACGCAAAACCAGCAGGTGCCTTGCAGTTTCCAGTGGCTGGAGTCCTGAAGTGGATTCTCCATCCCTCACCCAGGCCTGTCTTTCAGGCTATCCTGGAATCTCCTTCAACATACAGATCTGACATGCAACAATTTTCATGTCCAATGTTATTCAAGGAACAAAGCCAAGGGGGTTATATTGAAACAAAATAAAAGAACACACAGTGAATTCCTATTATGCAGTGTGAGTTGTCTGGCATGGTATTAAGCAAAAGGGTGATTTGGGAGAAGACCAAATGTGGGCCATAAAAACTGACTTCCTCCCTTCCCCCCAAACATCCATCAACTGCCAGTTGCATCTCACCTAGGGGCTGGGCCTCCAGAGCACCTGCCCTCTCCATGTTGGAGTGGTGATTGGCTAGATCTTGTGTGAATCTTGTGCCAGTGACCACAACCACTGTGGTTTCACAAACCCAACAGTCCTGTCATGTTCAGGAAACATTATTCTCAGTACTCCTCTCCAACCTCTAGCTCTTATGATCTTCCTGCCCCCTCTTCCATGGTGTTCCTGGAATTCAATTACCCAGTTTTATAGGAATGGGTTCATTCCTCAAGACTGTACAAAACAACATTGGGAATGAAGAGTGCCTGGCATTGGCATCTTCAGAAAAGCACAGTCCTCCCCCCAAAAAAGAAACCCCCTTTTTTCCTCATCTTTGACACATTCTTCTCTAGTAGGATGTAAAGGTTTATTTGTTTATGCGTGACTTTTAGTTTACTCTGTTGACAAAGGACACTAAAATACAAATAGGTGGATTTTTCCAGTTGTAGCTGTTAATTTCTTTTGCATGTATGTCTGGTGTGTATGTGGTATACATGTATACATGTGTGCAGGTGTATGCACTGTTGTGTAAGTGTGGATATTCAGAAAGAGTCTCTTGTGTCCGTTTTTGTCACACATTGCTTGAGAAAGGATCTCCTACTACAGTCTGAGCAGTCAGCAAGCCTCAGCCTCCCTCCTGTGTCTATCACACACACAGGCATGCACATTCACACACATGTGCATGCGTGCATTCATGCACACACAACCAACACTGGGGTAGCAAGTGCACACATAGCCACACCTGGCTTTTTACATAGCTGCTGACTATTCTGACTCATGTCCTTGTGCTTTCATAGCAAGCACTCTTCCCTGATTGCCAACTTGAAGTTGTAATCACCAAGGAGACACAGTACTGAGTGTATCTGTGAAGATATTTTTCAGAGTAGTCTAAATGAAGAAGAAATGCCTGTCCTGAATGCCGACTGCCATCTTGAAGCACATAAAGATGAGAAACCTAGGTGAACTTCAGAGTTTCTCTTTCTCTGTTTCCTCACTGTGGATACAATGTGACAAGGTGCTACACTTACTTCTCCACCATGACCCACTGTCACCTCAAACTGTGGTCCAAAGCAAGTCTTTACTTCCTTTAGTTACTTTTGTCAAGTACTTTGCCACAGCAATGAGAGAAAGGCAGGGAATACACTGACAAAGGTGACTCTGTTTTTGCACATGGTGTCAGTATTTAGCAACCTACAAACCCTGAGAAGTTCTAAAGGTTTTACTAGGGTTTCCAAATAACTAAATATGAAGTAGGATACCTGGCTGTTGTTTTGGAAGAGAACTGGGCCATTAATTTCACAGTTTCTAAGAAATCACTTCCCTCCTGGATGCTGCCAATTATTTGCTCTTTCTAGAAGATGCCACCAGCTGGGATGCAGGGGTCTGAGATTCCTTTGATAATGACCTCACCGCTTGGCTCAAGTGGTCCCTTCTTAGAGGTTTATGATGTCAGGTGGGCAG